TGGGTGAATACCTCCAATATTACTGATTTACTGGTAGTCTCGAAACTCTACTCAAACACGAAAAATGTGTGATTTTGAGCTTGTCCACCCTTTCGCGTTTGCAGACCCAAATCTTCGGCAGCCTATTAAACTACATGGCATCCATAAATCTGACGACCAAGGCAGCAACTCCGTTTCACGAGAGTCGTCAGCTCGATCTTGCACAGACGTCCTGTCGCTTCTCCGGTCTGGCGACTGGCCTGATCTACACAATCGTTGTGCAGACGACCACTCGGCCAGACGCAAATGGGTTCGGCGGTGGACTTGGCGAGGTTGCGTTTGTGGTTGGACAAACGGTTCCCTCCAGTGAGTTGTACAACCTTTATGTGATTCTTCTATTTTTTTGTTAATGTTTCTACATTTGCTAGTCAATATTATTGTTCAATGCTATACAGTAGTCCTCATTACTCGCTGGCAGCATTCCAATGGACGCTTGGTCAGTCAATTCTGTCGCTTGTTACGCCGAGATAAGCCGCATCTGGACTAGAGTTGAGTGAAAGGAGATAATGAAAGTAAAGAGCATATAAATACATTTGATAGGCCTTTTTACTGAAAGAGATAGAATATCAATCACCATGACGAAGCAATCTATCGATGCTTTTTGCGGAGAGTTTGTTAGCGTTTTTGGATTTGTGCAGCAAGACTGTTGATGCATTGGACTTTCGAGGGAAAACTTAATTAGGAACTTCGATTTCACTACGAAATTCAATTAGCGTATGCATTGCCATGGCAGTTAAATAATTTTAATTATAATCTTATGACACTTTGCTATCTCCAAGTGCTAACTGTATTTAGTTTTTCTCACTTCAAATAAAATGTCAATTCTCCGCTTAACTGTCGGCTATCGAGCCTATCAGTAGACCTAACATGAGTTAAGAAGGATGATGAATATGCCTCAGGCTTTCATTGAATTTTACATATTATTGCTTCTCAGAAGGTGTTTTCACCCGCTACTCTCGAAGTCCTACTCATAAACGATAAATAAGTAGTATATGCGAATGCCATGGCAAATACAGTATTGCTCCATCGGCAATCCCACTGCAGAGTATGATACAGAAAAGGCCTGGGTTTCCGTGAAATGCACGATTACTCTGTGACCCAAATACATTCACGGAAGTGAGCCGGCTTCGAGTCCCACTGGGCTGGTAACGAGACCAATTGAGGCGAGGTCGAAACAGCAATCCACTCCAACCGCAACGAGAAGACCTTTTTGGAAGCAGTCTCAGGGGACATTCAAGCGAACTGCAAGGCCTAATCATGCATTTGTAGACAAATTCAACTACCAGTCCTTAATACGCCTAAACGGAATAGACTTCTTGAATTAGGGCATGTCCGTAAGTTTTTGATACATGTTTAGGCATATGATATTGTACATTGAGTGCGAGTAATTTACAAATTTTGTGTGGGATATGATAGCCCAAACTAGACTCGAACTTATTCCAACCTCATTCGCTTCCTCACTCCGGTTAATGTGCGTCACGAAGGGCTAGATTGAACTCGTATGGCGCTGAGCCGAAATATTCTTCACATGATCCAGCAGATACAGCTTCTTCGTTGTCCTTTCTTCTACCGTTTTCTCATGAAATCACTGTTAGGCTGGCATTGGAATTTGCCTCATCATGTTTCCGCAACTTGGTCGTGTTGTCATGACGATCTAGTTGAAAGCATCTTGTCCGAATTGGTGATACTTTCCAGCATTGGACCGTGAGCTTGGCACATTCCCTGGCGTCGCGCCGGCATTGTAATAAACAGCTTGAATGATCAAATCTATAGTACGCTCCTGGAAATGATCACAGCTTCGGGCAAGACGTGTCCAACTTATCGCCCTGACAACACGATCAAGTTGCGCAAACGAGGTCAGATCACTTTAATCTATCCAAAAAGGAATGCAACCAAAACAGCGACAACAACATCTTGGTCTTTATATTCACAATTAAGTCAATCTTGTTGACCAGAATCTTGGTCAAGGGATGGACTTTACCTGTTTCTTTGATGAGTTGTGTCTTTGTACCAAGTCTATAGTCCATGCTGAAAATTCTCATGACAACTTGGGCAGAGGAGTTCGCAAAGAGTGCGACCATCTAAGTTGCTCTGGCAACAAGACCAGGTTGTGAAAACTGTGTGTTCGGTAGAGGGATTTGCGTGACTTTCAGACACGAGTCTCGACTGTCTCTCGGTTTCTACGTCCGCTAGTGATTCGAGCGTTTCTGTTCGGCCAACTGGAGCAGAGCGGGATTCGGTCTCGGCGAACAGATTCGGCCAATCAGGCGCGTTGTGGTCGGCACGGTCGTTGAAGCTCTTGGGCTCGAGTCCCGTCGGGAGAGCGGGCGTTGATCTGGGCCTCGAGGCTCTTGCGAATAGCGTGGAAAAGCCGAACTGTGGAAACGGCCGACTCGTGGAACTTGTCGCCTCGAAGTATAATGGTTCGACGTTATTGGTTGCCTGAGTCCAGTTGTCTGGCATTCGCGAAAACCCGTTCTTGAGTCCGACAGGACTCGGAAACTCGGCGTCTACGGGGCTCTTTAAGACGGTCTCTGTACCATAACCACCCCCAACCCCACTCCTTTCGCCAGCCCCGACAGCACCCAGAAACCTCCGTTTTCCGATGGTCGACGAGGCCTCGTTCCTGCTGGCCTGGGACGCTCCGGATCCGGCCAACGCGATCATCTCTTCGTACCGGATCGCGATAAACACCAGCTCCTCGCAACAGCCCACCGTCATGGACACCGCCAGCGACATGACGTCCAAGTCGGTCTTCCGTCTGACCAGACTGCAGGTCTACACCATCCGAGTAGCCGCCGTCGGCAAACAGGACGTCGACGGCAGAGGCGGCGGACTGGGCGCCTGGTCGGAACCGGCCTTGGTTCAGACGGCCTATCCACGTTAGTACCATCTGGCCGGACGCTAAGTAATCCAATGCTTTGCTCCTACTCCTTATAATGATAATAAAAACTATTATTATCATTATTAGCATCATCTCCATTATTTATTTATTTAATTTTTATTTCATTAATTTCATTATATTTGTTTCGCTTTCTTTCGGAACCTAGTAATCATTACGAAACATACTCACGTCGACTATAGGCCCTACTTAATTCACATCAATTATGCCAAATTTCTTATAGATATCCAACTCTAGTTTGATAATATGAAATATTTTCACCCAATTTCGTGTAAGGCGATGAAGAACTGGTAGAAGAAGAATTTTCCCACAAAGGTAGAGTTGAGCTGACGTTTCCATTCAATTTCACATAACCTTGCTTTCACAAAAGTTGTTCTCATTCTTAAACAAAATTGAGTGAATTTAGAATTTACTTTATTTTTCGAACAAAGTATTGTTTTTTGTGTCTACCAGTAAATCAGTAATATGAGATGTATTCCCCCAATTTCGTTTAAGGTGATGAAGGACTGGTCCGCTCTCATACTGCACTGTCGCGGTTCGACTCCCGCTGGGGGTGTTGATAAGACCAATGCGAGGTCGAAACTGCAGTCCA